TTTACAATTGCATTCCTTTACTCTTTCCACGATTTGTCTGTAAGCGGCTGAATGAGAAGACACGAACTAATCTGAATTCAGGTTATCCCGTAAAATGTTGTTCCTTCTTGCTCTCTTAATATTTCCTGGTAGTTAGATGGTGAGTAGGGTCATGTTACAAAATGTAAGTGGCGGAGTGCGTCATCCATTACGTTCGTAGGGTCGAAGTTCTGTTATTCTGCGAAACGCAGTTCCTGAAGGAACGGCATAAGCAAGTGTGTAGCAGACAGGGTAATGAAACCGTCATTTAATGTTGGTATGTTGTGTTCATTGTATCTATTTTTGTAAGTAGGGCCTATCTGATGCCTGCTGCCGGAGAAATAAGTGTCCAGCAACAGGATTCTTTCTTTCCATCGCCATTTTTACTACGCGCAGCTAGGGCATTCGGTGCGCGAACCCGTATTTCGTTTAGAAGTCAAAAGCACAGACGGACCGGGAAAGTGAATCTGCTTTCTTGCAATGACATCAAAGATGCACCAATCAGAATAAAGGCCGTTTGTTCGTTGTTGCTAAATGCCATATGATTGGATTTGGTTCGCTGGCTGTGGACATTGCTCATCGGTAGCGAATGTGCAAGTAACAGTATTCACTTGGCTAGGATTTGCCACATAGGACGCAGACTTGTCGACAACTAACTTATACACTCATTCCCTAGTGCAAGAGAAACAAAACTACAGCCCGCGGACCGGATCCGGTATGCGACGTCAGTTCATCCGGACCGCCCACCGTACCCCAACTTGCCTGCTGAAGGTATAAAAAACGAAGCGTTGCTATAGCAGTTACATCTGACACTACGCGTCGCAGTGTTGGTAACTGTACAGTATTTGAACACTACTGTGAGCAAGTGTGGTGTCGCTTAACACGGCTTAGCGCTGGTCGATATTTGATGAATACATTTTTATTTGTTGTAGTGTCGCAGAAAAGGACCGTGTACCAAATTTGAAGGGTTGCTACTTGATTGGATGGTTTTTGTTTCTTGTATCTTTCTTGCATCTCGAATGCGCTGTATGCACCAATTTTTCATGATATTCGAAAGTGATGACTCGGTTCCATGTATCAATAAGGTACCTAGTGAATTCTCTGTTGGTGATTGATTGTTCCATTGATATTTCTAGTGATAAGCTATACCAAAGTTGTGTTTTTGGATTTAGATCTACCGACTAAGTTGACCATTCGAACGTCCTCACTCCTACTTTTTCATAGATTTTGCAAATGTCTTTGCACGATGGCATAACGCATTGTCATCCTAAAAGAAATAATCTTGCTTGAATTGTTTTTGAGCTGATGGTATCACGCAGTTCTTGAGAGTCTGCAGATATCTGTGGACAGTGACTATGTCAACGGCGAAATGGAGCATTCCAACTCAACTGGTGGCTATGCAACCCCAACTCGTAATTTCTTCTGGATGCCTGACAGAGAGATTAAGGCGCAGTTATTTGTATTAATCTCATGGAAACCGTCTGACAGATATGCTGCCATTCTTTCCAAGATTGCAGAAGTGAATTTTCTCACTAAATAACAACATCTCCTAATCTCTCTTGGTCCAACTGGAACACATTTTGGCCCATGGAAGTATTCGGTAAGACTGTGTACCAGACAACAGCAGTTTCCTCTTTGCCTTGCAGCTTTTCAGAACAAATTCTAAGCACTGTATTCTTACTGTTGACGGGTCCAAATCTACAGAACACATCTCCTTTCATTCCATAAGCAGCTGAGGAGATGTAAGCTTCTTGTCAAACAAGGTTGTCCTCAATAACACCCGGTTATTTCGGTCTGTTGCGTTCTTTGGTCGACCAGATCGATGCCTGTCATATGTGTTTTCAGTCTCAAGTTGCTTCTAAAAAATTCTAAATAATCCGTAACATCTCTCATGAATGTGCTTGATATACAGCGCAATAATGTTGCAATCTGCCTGCTTGAGCAATTTGCACCATGGAGCACTACTTATTTAACTCGCGCATTTTGTCCAAATGCTAAAGGATCCAATCATACACCTTCCTCACTCAGACAAACAATGTTATGAGTCTGCACCAAACCAATCTTCAAAGTTACGATAAATATGCTGTTCTGTTAGTAGACAGAAATTCTACGTCTCTATTAGAGGAAAGTTAAATTGTTTTAAGAGTCAATCTTGATAGCGATTTGACGCATTTAAACTCTTCTACACAAACTGCACCAAGTAGATTACTCCATTCGATAACTTGTGACCACAACAATGTTGAGTATAATAAAAACACAAGAATAATGAAATAATATTTTCTGAGTATAACGATATGAAGCTTTTGTGCACATGTTTTTTCTAGATGTAAAATCTAACATGCTACAGTGTGTCCTTTTCAAGGTGAATTGGGACCTTTACAGCGATATATATATATATATATATTATATCAAAACTTCTAAGGAGATATATTCTGTGGCCAAAGGTATATATGAAATTTCCGTGTAATCTTAGTCAGCCGTATTTCAACTAATGACTTCTGATCCTTTGTTTTTCCAGAGTCTCCATGAGATTATGAATCTGCTTGCAATCCGAATGTTATGCTTACTCAGACCACTTTATTTCACTCTTCATCAAGGCTACTAAATAAAGAAAAGGAAACACCGGGTGCCACTTGCATTCTTCTAATTTCTCGCAGTTTGAAATAGTGGTAAGACGACGAAAGCTGTTAGATGCATGCATTTCGTATTGTTTCCTGAGTACCATTAACAATAACCGGTATGCAGCTGTATACTTAACTATGAGTGTGACCAAATAAGCATGAGGTGCAAAATGAATGAGTTAAGTTCCGCACCCATGTCCATTTCAGTCTTAAACTCACGAATAATTGCTTTTGTACACGCAAGATCGGCTTCATCCGACTTATCGCGACAGCCTCGGCGAAACAGAGGAAGCGGGTATTAGAGTGATCTATCACCATTGTGTAAGCTGATCCAAGTTCCATCCGGTGACGCCTGATGAGCAAGTGTGTATCTATGTAGGAAGCTGGCAGCCTGCGCAAGCACAGAACTTCAGTGGGGCAGGGATGCTGGTCAATTTCACGTTGAAAGCACCTTGGCACGTGTTCCTTTATTCGGGAAGTCCAAGACCAATTAATTCTGCCTATGTAGCTGCTCCGCAGTTGTACACGAATTGGTACATACAGTGTGAGGTTGCCCCGATCGGTTGAGCTTCTTTCGTTAGAGGCACGGGCAAGTTACGTGTTCGATTGGTGATCACGATCTGAGCAGCACTGTAAGTCCTCTGTCGGATGAAGCCGATCTTGTGTGTTCAAAAGCAATTATTCGTGAGCTTTAGGCTACCATAGGCATAGGGGTAGAACTTAAGTCATTCATTTTGCACCTCGTGCTTATGTGGTCACACCCATAGTTAAGTATACAGTTGCATACCGGTTATTGTTATTGGTACTAAGGAGATAGTACCAAATGCACGCACACCAGGATTTTATCACTTATCCGGCCCACGCTATTCATTTTTCTCAGCCATGCTATCCACCGGGACAAATATTCTGTGACCCCCTACCGTGGTGCACTCGAGTGTCGCGTAATTGTCCGAGCGAGTAAAATGAAGGACGCGGATGGAAAGCGATTAAGTATTGGTGCCCTTAGTGATCGATTTAATTCCCATACCCACTCGATAATGATGAGCTTGAATTGTGCACAACATCTCGCAGCATCAGCACATCCTTTATTTGGATGGTGTGACAAACCAAAACGTCTGTCGGATGAAATTTAGTCATAATTAGGCGAACAATTTGTCCAATTCTTCATCGCATGAAGTCAGCCAAGGTTATTTGGATTACACGAATGCTCGCATTTGGTTAGATGAGGAAACATCGTGACAAGCGCCGATAAACTGGACCACGTGTATGTCACACACTTTTGAGTTACATCATTTGCATCATGACAACTACTGCACGCGATAGATGGGAAGTGGTCTTGGCGCTCCACCGAGCTGTTTCAGCTAAGCACCCATAACTCACTTCAAAGACCGTATTATCGATCGAATAGAATGGCGTAATCCCACCGGTTTAAGGAACAAAGTACCTGTAGCCGAAGACGTTGTGTGCCAGCTGGATAATTGAGAAGAATCACACCTATCAGCCTGTCAGAATCACTGGGAGCAAACTGATACTAGAGGATCTCAGACAGTTTTTATGTCTCTTCCGTCAAACAGCTTAAGGAAGTTTGAGTAAAGTTTGTAGCGAACTGGTCTATAGAGGAAAAGCTCACGGAAAGTGTCGTCGGGATGTAGCGTTTGAAATTAGCCTCGTCAATCTGTGTCCCGTGACCACTGTTTATTCGATATTTGGCCGTCCAGTTTCACGCTTTCTCAGTTATAGGTACACGGGATCAAGGTCAATGCGGAGGTTCAGGGAATTCTCTGCAGAGAACCATGCCTCGTGGAATTCTCTTCCTTTTCTTGTCCCTCCGTGTGCCAGAATTTCCCTTTTGTCCCCGTTAACATTTTGTCCTTCCTCATCGAGGTGCGCTGAGATCTGTAACGATACGTGTTGGTGTCAACACGCACGCTTGTGCTCTTATATTCTTTGGTGACAGTCACAACAACCTCCACCGATGCTGCAGACAAGATCAAATAAATTAGGGGAATAAAATGTTTAATCCGACGGGAGGATGCAGCACATTTTATAGTTGGCCTTCGGCCCGCAGCCTAGAGGTAACGAGCTGGTCTCGTTATTTTGCGACGCGGGTTGGAATCAGCATAGGGGTGTGCCTCGTCACGGTATACTCAACCCGCGTGCGACTGGTGGTGCTCGCACGGCAGCGAAGCATCGTTACGGGATACAGCTGACACATCATCTTATTATTATGTGGTTGGCCCATCTGGATAATGGCATTGGTACTTAAACTTTATGGATACAAATGTCACTAAAGACCACCTTTTTATATAAGAACGGAAGCATGGACACCACTCGGATAAAAGTGTACACATTGACACTTACAGTATGAAACAATGGGCGATTTGTGAGAGCAATCGAAATAATTTCTGTAAAGGCTGAAACGGAGAAGGGAAAGACATATGTTGATGAATCAACGTAACTGCAACAAATTTAACACGTGAGAAAGTAATTCACATGGATTACTGCCGCAAAAAACTGGATTTCCAGACAACAAACGCCCTACTTTTCTTGCTTCAGTGTCCTTCAGCTCTGATGAGACAAGATGGATAGGCACAATTTTAATACAACTATGGTTGGCTCCAAGGAATCCGCCTAAACAACCGAAGGAATAAATGTGCTTAAAGGGGAATTGAACTAAATTGGTTTAAGGTGTCCAACTCCCCACCCATAAACTGCCTCCCTAGTTAAGATATTGTACACTGTTTTCGATCAACTTAGTCGATATGCGCTTGCTGGCAAAGAAGCGCGTCCGTGCACTCTTTTCCGCGCTAATTATATACGGTGTAATATTCGACACCAATATTGGGCGCTGTCGGCCTAATGACACTGAACTCCACGTTGCGCTTTGAATTTTGTTCTCGTCAGGTAGAGATGGTTGGCGGCGTCCGGTTTCGGATTTGCCTGTCACTGTGGCCAGCCACAGCACCCCTGCGCCTATAGAAAAACCATAGATGCCTTGCGCAGCACCACCCACAGCTCCATCCACACACCCCATATTCAGTGTAAACTCGAAGGGAGAAGACCGGGAGGCATGCGGATGGGAACCACGTTTCATCAACGAAACCGGGTCACACTCCTTCACAGGCAAACACAAGCAAGCTGTATTACTGAAATCAAGCGCACGCAAGGCGATGGCTGGATCGTGGTCCGCTCCACACTGAGTGCATGGAAACACTCTTCGAGAATAGCACAACCACAAGGATCATGCACCCCGTCCCCTCCAGCAACGACCAACTGTCTCCTGGAGCCAGTATGGACGAGGTAGTGGGTAATGGACAGGTAGGCACCTTGACCACATGCACATCAAGCGCAGCCACACCGGGGATATCAAGCAACAGCCGACCATTTGAAGAAACATGATCAAATAAAATAAATCGACTAATGCAAACGGATATACCGATATAGCTCTATTATAAATGAGCGTATAAATTGGTTACGAACAGATCCGCGAAGGGTTCAATGTGTCAGAAAATGTATCTTAAGAAAATGCCACAAACGCGAAAACGTTATCGAAGTTAACTATCATTGGCTTAAGCAGCGTGTGAAACTTTATGGAAGATAATTTAATTAGACACGATTGGCGACATCCGGTTTCGGACTTGCCTGTCACTGTGGCCAGCCACAGGACGCCTGCGCCTACAGAGGGACCATGGATGGCTTGCGCTGCACCACCCACAGCTCCATCCACACACCCCATATTCAGTGTAAACCCGAAGGAATAAGACCGGGAGGCATGCGGATGGGAGCCACGTTTCATCAACGAAACCGGCCCACACTCCTCCAAAGTTAAATACAAGCACACTGTATTTGGGGAATCAAGCGCACACAAGGCGGTGGCTGGACCGTAGTCAGTTCCACACTGAGTGCATGGAAACACTCTTCGAGAATAGCACAACCACAAGGATCGTGCACCCCGTCCCCTCCAGCAACGACCAACTGTCTTCTGGAGCCAGTATGAACAAGGTAGTGGGTAATAGACAGGTAGGCGTCTTGTCAAAGTTGACATATATGAGATAAAATGCTATGAGGATAATATGGCAAACCCACCACCTGTAATAAATAGACACAACATGCAAGAACGCGGTTAATAAACCAAATGCAGCGTAACTACAAACGCTGCGCCGGTTCTGCCTACGTTCTCTGGAGGACCCGTCGTCGTTTCTGTGGTGACCTCGGGGGCCTCGCTCATGGCTCACTAGGCCTGTCTGACTCAGGCACGCGGGACCGCATGTGCTACCACACCATACGCTCGATGTCCATGGAGTACAACCCATCGGTGCTTGCCGCTTCTGCACTTGCCGCTTCTTCTCAGAACGTATGAGGGCTTTCTCCTGCACTTCAGCAACTGCCTTCGTGATTAGATCGCGCCATGCACGCCAATCAACCGCCTTCGATTCCCATGACCTGCAATCAAGGTTAGAACGTGATAGACTCACTTTGCTCGTGTCCTGGTAACGAAGATTCGCTTTCCCTTATACCGCATCTCAATAAAGCTGATCAGTTAATAGTTATTTCGTTATCTGCGTCAAATCCATACGGTTCACAAGACCAAGCCACCTCAGGTGTCTTGGCAAAAGTATGCAAGCCACTACACACATTCCACTTCGGCGCAACAGTACCGTGTCAGCAACTCTGTCGCCCCAACCGATGTGCAGAATCCGTGACATTGTTGATGGAACCGATCGAAATATTCCACCAGCATATCGTCCTCGTTTCATTGCAGATTAGAAGAACGGACAGCACTATGGATTTGTACTCCATCAGCTATCTGCCAACGGTAAGCTGATGGTTGTTCCACACTCAGGACTCTGGCTTCCCGAATACCGCCGCTGCCTTCGAAACTAGAATACGCAGTTCACTGTGAAGCTGCTAGTCAGTCGACATCATACTCCCAAGGTAGCAGAAGCGGGAGGTGGTTTCCAATATTTCAGCATCAATGCTGATTTGCGGCAACATTGCGGATTTCACCTCCAGTGAAGGATGTAAGTGATAGACAGTTTGCTTGTGCTGATGATGAGCCCGAATTTGGCCGCCGTCGAAGCCAGAGCACTAGTCATGGGTTGAAACTCATCCGCGTTGTGTGCCAACAACACACTCTTCCACAAACCGCAACACACGGATAGTTGCCTCACAAACTAGGGTTCTCGCACCGAAACGACTGATGTTCAGCAATCCACCATCCACACAGTGCTACACACGGACGCCATAAGCACAAACCGCATCAAAAACACAAGACATCATTGTATCAAGATGAATAGTAAACAGAGCAGGAGCTAAGACACAGCCTTGCTTCACACAGAAACAATTGCAAAGTCATCCGAGGTCTCTCGTCTCAGATGCACCCTCACCCACATACCATCGTGCAGATATTCAATTAAACTTACAAAGTTCTTCGTGCAACTAAACTTACCCAACACCAGTCACAACGTCTCGCGGTTAACCATAACAAATAATTTGACGAAATCTACTAACAGCGAGCACAACGGCTAGTGTCGTTCTATACACTTCTCCTGCAACTGACGAGCCGCAAACACCATATCTATAGTGCTGCTACCCGAACGGAATTCACACTGCTCTTCCGCCTCACTGACGAGGCGTTTGAGCAGTATTCGGGCAATCACCTTGCCCATACAACTCAACAAGTTGATGCCAGGATAATTCGTGCAACACTGCTTGCTACGTTTTCCCTTTTACGGTGGTAGCACAAGGGCATCCTTCAGCTTAGGAGGCACCTCCTCCTCAAACCATAAGCGTTGCACCATTTAGTGCAGTCCCCAACGCAGTTCTGCCGTGTTTCAATCCTTCAGGCGGGATCCCGTCGGCACGGACACAATTGACGTTTCGCAGCTGAGCAAGTGCTCTCTGCGTCTCATCCAGTGTCGGCGAGTCCGCCAGACTCGGCTTCACATCGTGCTGTTTCAGGCCGTTCAATGTAGGTCAGTCAATAATTGAACGGTTGTTCAAGAGACAGTCAAACTGTTTTTGCCAGATCTGCATTATGTCTGCAGTTGGTATGCAGGTAGAGCCTGAACTACCATTGATCAGCGTCCTCAGCCACTCCAACCACGGTCCATACACTGCCTTCAAGAAGTCAAATAATTGCATGTGCTGGCGACTTTCGGCATAGTATTCCATCTGCTTCGCCTTCTCCGTAAACCATGCATTTTTACTGCTACGGAGCTCACGGATCAGTCGCCGTCGAAGTTTGCGAAATCATCTGTTCTTCCCCAAGTCACTGGGGTCTGCCACACGTGCAGCAAATGCTGCATTCTTCTCCGATACCAGTGCACCAATCGTTGCATTGTTGTCATCAAACCAATCAGGCCGCTTACAATTTGCGCGCCCGATGGTCTCTTCGGCAGCAGTTGTCACCTGGTTGCGAATGTGGTGCCACAGGTCGCCCACTGAAGCTATGCATTTCACATCACACACATGTACACCCATCACCTTCTCCAGCGCAATACGTTGCTCCACAGTACCGAGGGAGAGAATACTAAATTTAGGCCGATTCACGGCGAGAGTGTAATACAGATTTACGAAAATATATGTACTGTATGGTCCGCACCAATTTGTGATCAGTGCCACATTCAGCTCTACGTAGTACACGTGTCATGCGCACTTCACGCATATCACGCTGACGTACGATGACATAGTCGAGCAGGTGAATGTGCCACTCCGCGGGTGCGTCCAAGTTGCTATAATACTCGCACTCAGTGCAAACCGAATGTTTGTGCTAGTCAGGCCGTGAGTGGCACACAGTGAGAGCAGCCTGTCACCGTTCGCTTTCGCTGAAGCAATGCCATGCGGATCTATGACATCTGTCCACCCCGATGCATTACGCCCAACGCATGCATTGAAATCACCCATCCAAGATCCTCGGTGGCTCCTCGGCACAGACCGTATCACGGAGGATAGTTGAGTGTAGAATTGATCACGCGTGTCATCAGGATAACACATGGTCGAACCGTACGTGCTTATAAAGTGGTAAACCTACCTCTTCCGAGTGATAGGCGAACAGTCATCAGTCGCGCGCTGATGCCTGTTTGTTTATACACAAGCTGGCCATGGAGGCGATCGAATATTGCAAATCCGCCACCATGTTCACTTTGTGCTGAGACGGCGTTGCCCACCCAGTAGCATGTGTAATCAGCACCTGCTTCGTGCAACTTGCCTTGCTCAGCGAGCCGAGGCTCACTGAGTGCCGCAATATTTATGTGGTAGGTCGCTAGTTCCATCGCAACCTGTGGGTCCACTGGAGTTCCGGTCCAGTAGTGTGCGCAAGTTCCAGCACCCGATGATGATTGCTTTGCGCGCAGGCATATGATTGCATTGGTGGGCAATCTCACGCGTGGTGGCGGATGTGCTTCGGAGGTTT